CACTGCCAACCCCCCCGGAAACCCCCCCCTCGACCCCAAAATTTGGCACTGGCACCATCTGGCACCATCGGGCACCACCATCATGGTCCTGGCACCAGGACTGGCATCAAAACTTCCTGGTGCCAGCACCATCCGGCACCATCAGGCACCACCACCGCGCTTAACCAGGCTTCGTGGCACCAGGACTGGCACCAAAACCTCCTGGCACTGGCACCAGCCAGCACTGGCACCATCTGGCACCATCTGGCACCAGCACTGTGCTTAACCAAGCTTCATGGCACTGGCACCAACCAGCACTGGCACCACCTGGCACCATCTGGCACCACCACCGCGCTTAACCAGGCTTCATGGCACCAGGACTGGCACCAAAACCTCCTGGCACTGGCATCAACCAGCATTGGCACCATCTGGCACCATCACTGTGCTCGACCAAGCTTCATGGCATTGGTACCCTCTGGCACTGGCACCATCTGGCACCATCAGGCACCAGCACCATGCTCAACCAAGACACTTGGCACCAGCACCAACTGGCACTGGCACCATCAGACACCAGCACTGTGCTTAACCAGGCTTCATGGCACCAGGACTGGCACCAAAACCTCCTGGTACCACCACTAACCAGCCTTGGCACCACCTGGCACCAGCACCGTGCTCAACCGAGCCCCCTGGCACTGGTACTAACTGGCACTGGCACCATCTGGCACCATCAGGCACCATCACTGTGCTCCACTGAGCTTCATGGCACCAGGACTGGCACCAAAACCCCCTGGCACCAGCACCAACCAGCACTGGCACCATCCACCAACACCTGGCACCATCACCGTGCTCAACCAAGACTCTTGGCACCAGGACTGGCACCAAAACCTCCTGGCACCATCACCAACCAGCCTTGGCACCGCCTGGCACCAGCAACCGAGCCTCCTTGTACTAGCACCATCGGGCACTGGCACCATCTGGAACAATCAAGCACCACCACCGTGGTCCACCGAGCTTCCTGGCACCAGGACTGGCACCAAAACCTCCTGGCACCGGCACCAACCAGCATTGGCACCATCCACTAACACCTGGCACCATCACCGTGGTCCACTGAGCTTCATGGCACCAGGACTGGCACCAAAACCTCCTGGCACTGGCACAGCCTGGCACTGGCACCATCTGGCATCATTGGGCAACATCACCGTGCTCCACCGAGCTTCATGGCACCAGAACTGGCACCAAAACCTCCTGGCACTGGCACAGCCTGGCACTGGCACCATCTGGCATCATTGGGCAACATCACCGTGCTCCACCGAGCTTCATGGCACCAGAACTGGCACCAAAACCTCCTGGCACCAGCACCAATCAGCACTGGCACCATCTGGCACCATCAGGCACCATCACCGTGTTCCACCAAGCTTCATGGCACCAGGACTGGCACCAAAACCTCCTGGCACCAGCACCAATCAGCACTGGCACCATCTGGCACCATCTAGCACCACCACCGCGCTTAACCAGGCTTCATGGCACCAGGACTGGCACCAAAACCTCCTGGCACCAGCACCATCTGGCACCATCGGGCACCACCACCATGCTTAACCAGGCTTCGTGGCATCAGGACTTGCACCAAAACCTCCTGGCACCAGCACCAACCAGCCTTGGCACCACCTGGCACCAGCAACCAAGCCTCCTTGCACTGGCACCACTGTGCATTGGCACCATCTGGCACCATCATTGTGGTCCACTGAACCTCCTGGCACCAGGACTGGCACCAAAACCTCCTGGCACTGGCACTAACCAACTTTGGCACTACCTGGCACCAGCACCGTGCTCAACAAAGTCCCCTGGCACCAACCAGCACTGGCACCATCTGGTACCATCAGGCACCAGCACCGTGCTCCACCAAGCTTTGTGGCACCAGGACTGGCACCAAAACCTCCTGGTGCCAGCACCAACCAGCCTTGGCACCACCTGGCACCAGCAACTGAGCATCCTTGTACTGGCACCATCTGGCACTGGCACCATCGGGCACCACCATTGTGGTCCACCGAACCTCCTGGCACCAGGACTGGCACCAAAACCTCCTGGTGCCAGCACCATCCAGCACCATCTGGCACCATCTGGCACCATCTGGCACCATCGGGCACCACCACCGCGCTTAACCAGGCTTCATGGCACCAGGACTGGCACCAAAACCTCCTGGCACCAGCACCATCTGGCACCATCGGGCACCACCACCGCGCTTAACCAGGCTTCGTGGCATCAGGACTTGCACCAAAACCTCCTGGCACCAGCACCAACCAGCCTTGGCACCACCTGGCACCAGCAACCAAGCCTTCTTGCACTGGCACACCGGGCATTGGCACCATCTGGCACCATCTGGCACCATCATTGTGGTCCACTGAACCTCCTGGCACCAGGACTGGCACCGAAACCTCCTGGCACTGGCATCAACCAACATTGGCACCATCCGGCACCACCTGGCACCATCACCATGCTCCAGTTGAGCCATCTGGCATCAGGACTGGCACTGAAACCTCCTGGCACTGGCACCAACCAGCACTGGCACCGCCTGGCACCAGCACTGTGCTCCACCAAGCTTCGTGGTACCAGGACTGGCACCAAAACCTCCTGGCACCAGCACTAATCAGCCTTGGCACTGCCTGGCACCAGCACCATGCTCAACCAAGTCTCCTGGCACTGGCACCAACTGGCACCGGAACCATCCACCAACACCTGGCACCATCACCGTGCTCCAGTTGAGCCATCTGGCACCATTGGGCACTGAGCCCCTTGGCATTGGCATCATCCGGCACCATTGGGCACCAGCACCGTGCTCCACCAAGCTTCCTGGCACCAGGACTGGCACCAAAACCTCCTGGTACGAGCACCAACCAGCACTGGCACCATCCACCAACACCTGGCACCATCACCGTGCTCCAGTTGAGCCATCTGGCACCAGGACTGGCACCGAGTCTCCTGGCACTGGCACCATCCAGCACCATCGGGCACAACCACCGTGGTCCACTGAGCTTCACGGCACCAGGACTGGCACCAAAACCTCCTGGTGCCAGCACAAACCAGCCTTGGCACCACCTGGCACCAGCAACCGAGCCTCCTTGTACCGGCACCACTGGGCACTAGCACCATCTGGCTCCATCAAGCACCACCACTGTGGTCCACCAAGCTTCATGGCACCAGGACTGGCACCAAAACCTCCTGGCACCAGCACCAACCAGCCTTGGCACCACCTGGCACCATCACCCTACTCAACCGAGCCTCCTGGCACCAGCAAGACCCTCTGACCAGCCTGACTGGCCACCAGTACCGAGCTACTGGCACCACGGTCCAACCAACCCACCTGGCACCACCAAGGTGGGCACCAGGCAGATGCCACAGCCCCGTGGCCAGCAGTGCCACCGCTGCCCAGGCCTGGCACGGCCTCACCTGGTCATGGCTCATGGAGGGCATGGCCAAGGTGGCCAACTGGCATCTTGGCCAGCTGACCAGCCACCCAACTGGGCAGCTAACCAGTACCCTGCCCAACCAACCAGTATCTCAACCAGTTGACCAACCCCACCCTGGGCAGCCAACCAGCACCTCAACCAGCCAGTTGACCAGCACCTCAACCAACCAACCAACCAGCATCTTGGTCAACGAGGCAACTAACCAAAGCCAACCAGCACCTCAATCAACCTGGTTGACCAACCAACCAGCATCTCCACTGACCAACCAGCATCTCAATCGATCAACCAGCCAGCCAACCAGCATCTCAACCACCCAACCAACATCTCAACCAACCAACTGGCATCTTGGCCAACGAGGCAACCAACCAAAGCCAACCAGCATCTCAATCAGCCAACCAGCACCTCAACCAGTTGACCAACCAACCAGCCAACCAGCATCTCAACCAACCAACCAGCATCTCAACCAGTTGACCACCCAACCAACCAGCACCTCAACCAGCCAACCAGCACCTCAACCAGCCAGTTGACCAGCACCTCAACCAACCAACCAGCATCTTGGCCAACAAGGCAACCAACCAAAGCTAACCAGCACCTCAACCAACCAACCAGCACCTCAACCAGTTGACCGACCAACCAACCAGCCAACCAGCATCTCAACCACCCACCCAGCATCTCAACCAGTTGATCAACCACCCAATCAACCAGCATCTCAACCAACCAACCAGCATCTCAGTTGACCACCCACCCACCCACCATCTCAACCAACCAACCAGCATCTCAACCAGCTGATTAACCACCCAACCAGCATCTCAACCAACCAACCAGCATCTCAACCAGTCGATCAACCACCCACCAGCATCTCAACCACCCACCCAGCATCTCAACCAGTTGATCAACCACCCACCCAGCACCTCAACCACCTCCCCAGCATCTCAACCAGTCGATCAACCACCCACCCAGCATCTCAACCAGTTGATCAACCACCCAACCAACCAGCATCTCAGTTGACCACCCAACCAACCAGCATCTCAACCACCCACCCAGCATCTCAACCAGTTGATCAACCACCCACCCAACCTCTCAACCAACCAACCAGCATCTCAACCAGCTGATCAACCACCCACCCAGCATCTCAACCAACCAACCAGCATCTCAACCAGTTTACCACCCACCCACCCAGCATCTCAACCAACCAACCAGCATCTCAACCAGTTGATCGACCACCCACCCAACATCTCAGCCACCCACCCACCATCTCAACCAGTTGATCAACCACCCACCCACCATCTCAACCAACCAACCAGCATCTCAACCAGCATCTCAACCAACCAACCAGCATCTCAACCAACCAACCAGTTGACCATCCAACCAACCAGCATCTCAACCAGTTGACCAACCACCCATCCAGCATCTCAACCACCCACCCAGCATCTCAACCAGTTGATCAACCATCCACCCAGCATCTCAACCACCCACCCAGCACCTCAACCAACCAACCAGCATCTCAACCAGTTGATCAACCACCCACCCAGCATCTCAACCAACCAACCAGCATTTCAACCAACCAACCAGCATCTCAACCAGTTCATCGACCACCCAATCAACCAGCATCTCAAACAACCAACCAGCATCTCAGTTGACCACCCAACCAACCAGCATCTCAACCAACCACCCACCATCTCAACCAGTTATCAACCACCCACCATCTCAACCAACCAACCAACCAGCATCTCAACCAGTTATCAACCACCCACCATCTCAACCAACCAACCAGCATCTCAAACAGTTGATCAACCACCCACCCAGCATCTCAACCAACCAACCAGCATGTCAGTTGACCACCCAACCAACCAGCATCTCAACCACCCACCCAGCACCTCAACCAACCAACCAGCATGTCAGCTGACCACCCAACCAACCAGCATCTCAACCACCCACCCAGCACCTCAACCAACCAACCAGCATCTCAACCAGTTTACCACCCACTCACCCACCATCTCAACCAGTTGATCAACCACCCACCCACCATCTCAACCAACCAACCAGCATCTCAACCAGCATCTCAACCAACCAACCAGCATCTCAACCAACCAACCAGTTGACCATCCAACCAACCAGCATCTCAACCAGTTGACCAACCACCCATCCAGCATCTCAACCACCCACCCAGCATCTCAACCAGTTGATCAACCATCCACCCAGCATCTCAACCACCCACCCAGCACCTCAACCAACCAACCAGCATCTCAACCAGTTGATCAACCACCCACCCAGCATCTCAACCAACCAACCAGCATTTCAACCAACCAACCAGCATCTCAACCAGTTCATCGACCACCCAATCAACCAGCATCTCAAACAACCAACCAGCATCTCAGTTGACCACCCAACCAACCAGCATCTCAACCAACCACCCACCATCTCAACCAGTTATCAACCACCCACCATCTCAACCAACCAACCAGCATCTCAACCAGCTGATCAACCACCCACCCAGCATCTCAACCAACCAACCAGCATCTCAACCAGTTTACCACCCACCCACCCAGCATCTCAACCAACCAACCAGCATCTCAACCAGTTGACCGACCACCCACCCAGCATCTCAACCAACCAACCAGCATCTCAACCAGTGGATCAACCACCCAATCAACCAGCATCTCAACCACCGACCCAGCATATCAACCAATTAACCAGCATCTCAAACAGTTGACCACCCACCCACCCAGCATCTCAACTACCAACCAGCATCTCAACCAGTTGATCGACTACCCATCCAGCATCTCAACCACCCACCCAGCATCTCAACCAACCAACCAACCAACCAACATCTCAACCACCCAACCAGCATCTCAACCAACCAACCAGCATCTCAACCACCCACCCAGCACCTAAACCAACCAACCAGCATCTCAACCAACCAACCAGCATCTCAACCAGTTGATCGACCACCCACCCAACATCTCAGCCACCCACCCACCATCTCAACCAGTTGATCAACCACCCACCCACCATCTCAACCAACCAACCAGCATCTCAACCAGCATCTCAACCAACCAACCAGCATCTCAACCAACCAACCAGTTGACCATCCAACCAACCAGCATCTCAACCAGTTGACCAACCACCCATCCAGCATCTCAACCACCCACCCAGCATCTCAACCAGTTGATCAACCATCCACCCAGCATCTCAACCACCCACCCAGCACCTCAACCAACCAACCAGCATCTCAACCAGTTGATCAACCACCCACCCAGCATCTCAACCAACCAACCAGCATTTCAACCAACCAACCAGCATCTCAACCAGTTCATCGACCACCCAATCAACCAGCATCTCAAACAACCAACCAGCATCTCAGTTGACCACCCAACCAACCAGCATCTCAACCAACCACCCACCATCTCAACCAGTTATCAACCACCCACCATCTCAACCAACCAACCAACCAGCATCTCAACCAGTTATCAACCACCCACCATCTCAACCAACCAACCAGCATCTCAAACAGTTGATCAACCACCCACCCAGCATCTCAACCAACCAACCAGCATGTCAGTTGACCACCCAACCAACCAGCATCTCAACCACCCACCCAGCACCTCAACCAACCAACCAGCATGTCAGTTGACCACCCAACCAACCAGCATCTCAACCACCCACCCAGCACCTCAACCAACCAACCAGCATCTCAACCAGTTTACCACCCACTCACCCACCATCTCAACCAGTTGATCAACCACCCACCCACCATCTCAACCAACCAACCAGCATCTCAACCAGCATCTCAACCAACCAACCAGCATCTCAACCAACCAACCAGTTGACCATCCAACCAACCAGCATCTCAACCAGTTGACCAACCACCCATCCAGCATCTCAACCACCCACCCAGCATCTCAACCAGTTGATCAACCATCCACCCAGCATCTCAACCACCCACCCAGCACCTCAACCAACCAACCAGCATCTCAACCAGTTGATCAACCACCCACCCAGCATCTCAACCAACCAACCAGCATTTCAACCAACCAACCAGCATCTCAACCAGTTCATCGACCACCCAATCAACCAGCATCTCAAACAACCAACCAGCATCTCAGTTGACCACCCAACCAACCAGCATCTCAACCAACCACCCACCATCTCAACCAGTTATCAACCACCCACCATCTCAACCAACCAACCAACCAGCATCTCAACCAGTTATCAACCACCCACCATCTCAACCAACCAACCAGCATCTCAAACAGTTGATCAACCACCCACCCAGCATCTCAACCAACCAACCAGCATGTCAGTTGACCACCCAACCAACCAGCATCTCAACCACCCACCCAGCACCTCAACCAACCAACCAGCATCTCAACCAGTTTACCACCCACTCACCCAGCATCTCAACCAGTTGACCAACCACCCACCCAGCATCTCAACCACCCACTCAGCATCTCAACCAGTGGATCAACTACCCACCCAGCAGCTCAACCAACCAACCAGTTGACCATCCGACCAACCAGCATCTCCACCAGTTGACCACCCACCCAATCAGCATCTCAACCAACCAACCAGCATCTC